ATATAAAAAATCATAGGAGTACGTTATGGATATCGGACAAACCTGTTTTCTAAACAATAATTATTTCTCATAACTGAACTACTCATACACTTGTAATAATTTAAGAGGTTCGATTTGACTGTCACCTTGCAAAGTTTCGTCAAAATCCCACCCGAGTAAATCAGAGGTTTTCCTCGTAAGTTTAAGGCATTCACAAATATTAATTCTTCCATCCTATCATTAAAATTCGATCTTGTTCAATAATTTATAATATTTAACATTAATTATAATCGGTTCGTATTTCCGTATGAATAAAAAAAAAATATTTGTCTACGTTCATGTATCGTTTAAATAACTAAAATTTAAGATAAATACCATGAACTATGATATGATTCTGAAAGATGAACATGTGTTATTAATGAATAACTTGAAATGCAAAAATCAGTAATAATTGAACAAAAAGTACATCCTTGCGTTTGGATGTCAAACTTGCTGTTGAAACTATCGAGTTATAGATTATAAAGTGAAGATATTTAGATAAATCAATTTGATTCAGATATACTAATATTTGATATTACTAAGTTTGAGTAAAAATGGTTCTTGTTGAGATATTTTTTTCTTTCAAAAATAATTCAGTGTAACCAATCAGAAAGTTTCAAAATTTAATTAAGAACTACAAATAAAATTTACCTAGGATTTTGAGATGAAGTAAAATTGTAGAATTAATATTAGAAAATAAGCACAGTCAAATATCCGATAAAAGTTATCATATATCAGAATCGTTCCAAATATGGTTAATATTAGGCTTATTTTAAATTGGCGTTCATTCATTTACCATCGTTCAAAATATTAATAATCGAAGACATGTAGAACTCGGACATTGTACGTAATGTATTGGAATCATTGGAGAGTAATATAAAATTTTGAATTGACATTTGTATTAGAATTTTATTACTGGCGCCTAGTTGAGTACAAATTTTAAGTTAAAGAATTTTGAATATTACTAACATGTAAATTATCATGCATCCCTATAAAATTACCATAATCAAAATAATTTATCATACTAAATGAATTCACAGTACTTCAAAAATACTAATTTGCACCGACGGCATTGTACTTCTGTCACTGACAACTGTCCAATAGAATACATAATTGAAACCAAGTACATTTAGAAACTACTTCAGTTTAAAATAGTGCAATTATTCATTGTTAATATAGATATATTTTTGCATGGCCATTATCTCATTGTAGTAAATAATAATATTTATTAGCATATCATACGCATTCGTTGTCTGTTGAGTTGCACTGGAATAAATTAAATCAGAACTAGGCAACATTCTGTCCGAACGAAAAATATTTTTAAATCGAAAAAGTTATATGCATCAATTTGTTTTTTGTCATATACATATAACATAAAAAAACTTTTGGCATTTTTAAACGTCATGAATTTTACGGAAGATGTTTTTTTTTTCAATTGATCCTTATGAATGTGACTAATTGAAATAAGAAAAATTATTCTATACAAAAACTAAATAAAAGAAGTATTATTATTCAAAGAAAAATATAAGTAGATTTCTGCATAAAAATATTTTCATGAAGTGAAGTTTGTTTAAATTTAGAGTGAATTTGGCACTGTTAATAATTATAATATTATTAACCGTATATATGATTTATTCAAATAATAGATTTAATTAAAAGCTTCGATATATCATTTTTTCCTATTCACTGTAATACCTAGTAGATTATCATGTAAATGTATGAAATTTTTGTTTAAAGTTCAATTATTGGGTATGAAAAATGCGAATAAATTATTCATATATATATAAACTACTAAGAACACTTTTCGGCTACAAATTCAGCATACAAATGTATCCTTTCCCAAGAATAGTAATCGACAGACAAGTAGAAGACTAAAAAAATATACATTGAAACAGAATTTTCAAATTATTATTTATTAATTGTTGTAATTATTACCAGAAATATAAAAATAATTCAGATCTAGTTGCAGCCATATGGAAATATTTATATTTCGAATCGGTTAATTAATACAATTCTCAATTGAAGTATGTATATTTTTAACATAATTATCATTATGAAGCCCTGACATTGCAAAGACTCCTCCGCCAAGAGATTAAATAATTAAGTAATCAAAAAGCGTGAATTAGTCTAAGTTAAGATTTTAAAAAGAGTGTGTCACCCAATTGTGCAATTTATATTATATGACATTTACTAACGATGTGTGGGTCAGATGATGATAAATCACCTCTATTTAGATATTATGCGTTTAGTAGATGCACCAGACAAATATATTTACACATACACTTATAACAAATATAAAATATTAAAAAAATGTATAAACTTACGAGAATAGTGAGATTAAGCAAAACCCCAGCATGTTGCATATTTAGAAATCTCTAACAGTTTGGATAATCAATATAGACCGAACTGTCCACTAGAGTTAGAACTTACTAAAAATAATTACTCAATTTAAATTTTCATTTAAGAACAAAATGTGATTATCTGAAAGTGCCGCACAAAATAAATCAATACAACAAATTTATAAAAATCAATTTCATTATATATTCGCCATGGGTAAAAACAGCCTTTCTTGAATAAGCTTATTCTTGTCAATTAAATGTGTGAAGTTAAATTTAAAAAATATAATTAAATGTCTTACAATTAGTATAAATTATATTTTTAAGGCATCTGGAATGAATTGATACACGATTATATTTCTCTTCAAAATCTATATATTAAAATATATATATATATATATATATATATATATATATATATATATAAAATCGCGAAAGGACATAATACATGTGTGGAGTATTCCATATTTGGACCCCATGAACTGTCCATATTGGGCATTTTGAATAATGCAAAGAATCTCTGAACATAAAAATTATATATAGATAAATGATAAAGTTAATATTAATCTAATTGTAAACTTATGCAAACAAGTTATTCTAATAATATATCTAATATATAATCAACATTTAACTGCAATTTACATATTACAACACTGGACACTGACTACATTAATATTAACAATCATGAAAGCCTCAGTCTTGAAACAACAAGGTACCGAGTTCAAATTTTTCGATATAATCTACGTGGTATTAAACTGTAATGATATCTACTTGTACTGCAAAGTATAGATAATGAACACCAATTTAAAGTATGTTAAAGTATGATATCTAGATAGACACATATAATAAATATATGAGAATAAGTAGAAATTACCAGTTACTTCCTTAAATATATAGATATAAGTGAATGGGAGTCAAAATTTGTTTCTATATAAATAAAATAGATCCGAAATTAAATTTCTTCTACGTAGCAAAGTTCTAGTAAATGTGTTCAAGTCTTTTAGAATATTTAATAATTAATAGTCAAATTATTTTGGTCTAGCTGTTTGGGAAGCATTCGAAATAATTTTAAATAAAAAAATTCAATAATCAAATGTCATAGCATGATCAAAAATCCTTTTAGCGAAACGGAACTAAAAGTCGCTCCGGTAATGACAAACACTTCAAGAATCATGTTCGGGGCAAATGTGCAAAAACGGAAATTAAATCGTATTGTACTTATTTCATATGCTCGTATCGTAGATAGCATGCGAAATTCATTTTTGATTATATATATATATATATATATATATATATATATATATATTTACACACAAAAATGTTCATCATTGGTGTAACATGTCACATTTTCAGTCTATTCAAATATCTATAAAATTGAGTTTGTTAAATTGGAAAATATTGTTTTTAGATTTTTCAATATTGTATTTTACATTTATATAATTTATATTTGTCACATTGATGATGAGTCAAATCTGGTCTCAAAACGCAAATATATCATCTGTCGATTACCTAACTTTGTTTTCATTTATTATATATAATTTCATTTATAAAAAAACTTTTTTATAATCTAAAAAATTGTAACAAATTTTCGAAATTAAAAAATTGCCAACAAATATAATTCAAATGGATCATATTATATAATACGTAACGTAGATCTATGCCCTTGTTAATATGTACGTCAAAAGGTTAAACAATATGCATTAGAACGTTTTTAATTTTTGTCAGGCATTTAGTTTACTACCTTATTTTTTTCTTACCCAAAACTTTTCTTTCATTCTTACCAAATTTCTACTTTAGTATAGTCAATTTTAGTTTGCTATAAACATAATCTTTGTTTTTAATACATTCAATTTATAAACTTGATTGTAATTTAATTTAATGCTAAATAAATTTCTCTAATAAAAATCTGTATCAATAATCCTGTCTGCATGAGCTTTTACACTGCCTTGGTTAAAATTTGCTAAAATCAGTACACATTATGTTGCAGCGTCCATACAAAAAAATAAATAAAAAGACTTGAAGCTTACCAAACCGTAAAGCATTTCATATTATAAATATTATAAACTTACTATAAGAAACAAGGAATCTCATTGGAAAGTCAAAATCCTTTTCTGGTCAATTCGACTTTGAGATCAACTAGATCGCAATAGCTTATAGAATGTTTCATATTCTAATAGCTATTTAACATAAAAAAGCGAACTACGTTTGAGCTAGTAACTTTATCGACTAATTCGAAACCACTGGTTCTGTATTGGAAATCCACCTCAGCTACCTTGGTATCGAGCAGTCGTGATATAAAATTTTTCACATGTTATAGATGTAAATATGAGATCAAGTGTTTCGGGGCATTACTGTTTTATATACCTTGTTGGTATTTGATACAAAATCGCATTAGGTAGAAAATAGTCAACCGTCGGGTTGCGTTAAAAAATACTAGGTTAAGGATTAACATCAGAACAGCTCATAGAACATGAATGGTTCTGATAGCAATTGAAACGAACAAAAATTATTTATTTTAAAGGTTTTGCACTGTGATATATAGTAGTAATCTAAGTGCGATTTTAATTATAAATAGTATGTGGTAGCCTAATTATTTATCTGAATAAAATTGTACCAATTCAGCAGGATTTTCCAATTCGGAGTGATGTGCCAGTCGCGCGAATTCGACTAGGGTTAGCTGAGAAGACTCGAGGGAAGACGGCATCGAGCTCGTGGAGCGGGTACAGGTTCTCGATTTTTTTCTACATATCGGAAGCAAAGTTTTTTGCGAAAATTCAATAGATCTTAGAACGAGATAAGTGAAGACCCAAGATGGAGCATCATAAGACCGCCGCATCATCGGCGGCCGCGAAGGACAATCTAGACACAGCGCTGGGACTGAGGGAAGAGATCGAAATGCCATCGATAGGTAATTGAAAAATGATTGAAATAGATATGAATATATAATATATAAAAAGAGCTGATTCTCATTTCTTAACAATCGATTCAAATGTTTTACATTTAGGAACTCCATAGCATTAACTGTGCAATTGCAATGATAACCTCATTGTCAAATTATCGATTTATCTACATAAATAATCTCTTGATAAATTATATACTTTCATATTATTAGTCATGATTAAGTTTATTATTTTATTCATTTAATAAGACTGCATTATCTTTTAACAAACAGTGAATTTTGACAATTTTAAAAACAATATGTCGAGTGATGTTGAAGTCTAACTTTTCATGAATTTTTGTAAGAGTAAATTTGATTATACCATCTATGCTTTTAATATTTTTTTATACTAAAACTCTAGAACACAGATGTTGAAAACGCTGCATTTTTATGATAGTTATATAAAAACCAATCAATGTCAGTTAGGGTATATTTATCATGAATTTTGAGCTTTTTGAGATTGTGGGGCAAATTCTTCCATAAAATAGGAATGTAATATAGCATTGTTTTGGCATCGCGGCAACGCTATGTTACGGTCCAATCTTCATATGAGTTTGTAGTAAAAACTGTTAAAAAGCTATGTATTTGTCAGTCAGGCGTTTTGCATATGAAACCTACAATAAAAAACGCACAAAAGTAAAACGCACAATTTTGTTGTTAGTGCATCTTTCTAATGTACCCTTGATAAAACATACGTGATTTTAGGTTTTATGTGTAAAACTTAGGCGACCCTATGTCCCGGTTTGGCCAGAACAGCCCCGGATTTGTATCCCGGGTTTTGCCAGGAGCAATATTTGTTCCAGATTTAGATTTTTTGTCCCAGATCGTACTGGGTTTTCGAAACGTATAGGTTAAAATTAAATCACTTGATAATGAAATTACAACTCCCCATCAGATATCTGTAAATGTTTTATGATGATGCAATTGATGTATGCAATGAGTATGCTTATATAAAACAATACGTTATGAATGAAAAAATTGCCGAAAACAAAATCCCAAAGGCGGTTTAAAATAGCCTTGCATACTAATAAATTCAAATTTTTATTTTCAATTTCACGAAAATTAACAAAAATTATGAAAAGTAACAAACATCACTAACTAAAAAAAAAGTATGAAATGTAATCAAAACATAAAGTTCTTATTGAAAGTCCGCAATTCTGATTAAAAAAATCGGTTCATTAAAAACAAAAATGTTCTATTGTATCCTTAAACAGTATTCATTTTAAAATCAACAATTAATTTAGCATAAACTCCCCTCCCCCCGTCCCGGTTTAGCGTAACTAAAAATTGCCGTCTCAGTTTTGACTTTAGAAAATATGGTCACCTTAATAAAACGCCTAATTGCACAGCAAGTACATAGCAATTTGATAGCTTTTACTACAATTTTTAGCGTTGTCATAATAATTCTATTTTATCGGAGAATTGGATTGAACAGCGCACATTTTATAGTGCAAATCTACTAAATCAAAATTAAATCTACTTCATCATAATTAAATTAAATTTTAATTTTTGTTGCATTAATAAATAATAAAGCTCTTTTTTGAATAAGTAGATATTATACTAATTAATATATACTTTGAGAGGTTATAATAGTATAATAATTTTCAATTTAGGTGGCACGTCGTATAAAAAAATTAATGTACTAAAGATATCAATGTTATATTTATCAAAGCAATAATAATTACAAAAGTTCGTACTTAAGTCATCTGTAGAAAAGAGTACCGTTTGTGAGTAAAAGTGATAATTCTGGGCAATTACAAGTTCAAAAGATAACTATAAAATACAGAAGTTATTTAAATCGAACCAGTAAACTTATCGAGTCATATTGATTTTCAGGCATTAAGTTTTATAGTGTATTATTAATACTTTTTATTCATTTTCTCTAGGTAACAAAGGTAGCATATCAACCAAAGAAGCACTTCCAGAACGAGGTACTTGGGGAAGCAAATTGGACTTCATACTGTCGGTCGTGGGACTTGCAATAGGTTTGGGCAATGTCTGGAGATTTCCGTACCTGTGTTATAAGAACGGCGGTGGAGCGTTCTTGATACCCTACTTTTTAACATTAATTTTGGCTGGAATACCCATGTTCTTCATGGAATTGGCATTGGGGCAGATGTTGACCATAGGTGGTCTAGGAGTATTCAAAATTGCTCCAATATTTAAAGGTAAAAATAGGAAGGACTTTCTTATAGTTTACTTGTTATTTTATCGAAATGAAAACAATTGATTTGTAAATTTAAGTTTTTGTCTTAAAGCGATTTGATTCGTAATCACAAAAGCTCTGGATTCAAATTATAGTGTTGAACAACCTGATATGTATCATTAACAATATACATTTTCACTGCAAAGTACACATGAAAATATGTTTCCAAGTAAAATTTTATTGCAATATCAGATCATATATCAGATACCACATATCTTATATATTAGATCAGGTTTCGAAGTACCTAATGATTTCGTAAAACCACCGGATTGCCTTCTCATAAAACCTAGATACTTCGAACCAAAAAAATACTTCACACAGCAGCCCATAAAACATATATACATCTGATTGCTACAAAAAACTCTATCCCTGTATTAAAGCATTTTAAATGTGAAAATCCTGATGAGCTCAACTTAAATACAGATACTAATTCACATTAGCATTAGCGCGACAATGTTCAAACGCGATTGTTAAAATTTTCTTATGTCATAATAAATACAACTACTAAATAAATAAAACGTAAGTTCGTATAAGAACTTGTAACATAAGCTTTTACTTTAACAGCGATGCAAATCTTTATGAAAGATTAGAAATGCACGTGAATTTCAAATAAACTCAACCTACGTCAGTTTGTTCTAAACTCACTTGCTTTTCTAACCCAAAATTGCATAATTTTTGGTTTAAAATGTTCGATATTTCTAAATTATTTGTTCAGTGTGGTGTAGAAAATAGTTTGGTTAAGTTTTTGAATATTTTCAAAAAAAATAATACGAATTATCATTTCCAAAACAGGAATAGGATACGCGGCAGCCGTCATGTCCTGTTGGATGAACGTCTACTATATCGTAATCCTCGCATGGGCGATATTCTATTTCTTTATGTCTATGAGAACAGGTAAAATTATTAAATTCCATAATTATTATATTCAACCGTTTAATTTTTTTAAATTTTATTGTTTAATTAAAACTTTGGTTCCAATAGATGTACCATGGAGGACGTGTAACAATTTCTGGAATACAGAGAACTGCGTCAATCCCTACGATAGGAAAAATTTATTGTGCTGGGATCAATATAATATTAATAACACATTATCAAAAACATGTGTTGTTAACAGCATGAATGTGTCAGTATCAGATTTGACAGATCCTGTCAAAGAATTCTGGGAGTAAGTAAAAAAATAGCATATAGATCTGTAAAGTGCTAAAGAGTTTTCAAGACTTTTCGAATTATAATATCTATCAATAATATTAAAGTATGGATTTTTGACGACTTTTCCACTCGCGTTAAGAACACTTGAAAAGTGTTAACACTTTCCACTCGAATGTAGTAACGTGTTTAAAATTATTTGCTAGGGTGTATAAAATCATTTTCAATATATTATTTAAAACATATTTATCTGTACTGTACATTTACAGCACAGCATGAATGTTTTAAGCGAAAATATCATTTACAATTTAAATAAAATATTTCAATATTTTTTTAAACTCAAATTTCATGTGATAAAAAAATAACAAAATATTTAAAGTTAAAACATTGCTACAAAAGTGAAGAAACTGATTTTCAACACTTATCTCACATCTCTGCTTGTAATTTAAATGCTAATTTACTGTGAAATTAGAACCATAAGGCAATGTTTTCTTTCAATGTTTTTATATCTATTGGCTCCGCCATGTTTAGAATTTTAGTAAATTATTTAAATTTCATATTCCATTGCATTCAATGTTCTAAAAGTATATTAGTTTAACATATTTCGTTTTTGAGACGATGTCCCAAGACTACATTCATGTATTTCTTTTATACCAGAATATAAAAGAAGAAGAAGAAATCATTTGAAAAAAGTGCCTAAAAGCCTCTTACTCTGGCTGCAGTTTTTTCGAATACTGCACAACTAATTATTAATTACTAATGCAAATGCAAATGCAAATTAGTTATTAATTTTTAATTCATTGAAATTTAATAGAATAAAGCATTCAATACGATAATAATTTCTCACATCTCCATACATTGCTTTTTCTTGCCTTACGAATCTTACATTTTCAGTATCATTCAGCACTTTTGATTAGAATCTACTTCAATTCATCTTTTGAAGATTCTTTTTTATCGTTGATATATTATTAACTGTATTATTTTTAGGCGACGTGCTTTAATGATCTCCGATGGCATCGAATCAGTCGGCAGCATTCGTTGGGAGTTGGCTGGAACCTTATTACTTGTTTGGATTCTCTGTTACTTCTGCATTTGGAAAGGAGTCAAATGGACCGGAAAAGTTGTATACTTCACAGCTCTGTTTCCATATTTTCTCTTAACTATTTTACTTATAAGAGGAATAACACTGCCTGGGGCTATGGAAGGAATCAAATTCTATATTAGTCCAAACTTATCTAAACTTAAAGAATCTGAAGTATGGATCGACGCTGTGACGCAAATCTTCTTCTCGTATGGTTTAGGATTGGGAACACTTGTAGCGTTGGGAAGTTATAACAAATTCACAAATAACGTATACAAGTAAGAAGGATAATAAAGCATTTATATAAGTATATAATCGTACAATTATTGAAATTAAATTTTATTTCAGAGATGCGCTCATTGTATGTTCGGTTAATTCGAGTACTAGTATGTTTGCCGGTTTCGTTATATTCTCCGTGGTAGGTTTCATGGCTCACGAACAACAAAGGCCAGTGGCAGAGGTCGCCGCTTCAGGTATTTAAATATTTATTTAATTTTAACTGATTTAACACAGTATTTAAAATTAATCGTTGAAATTTTACTATAAAATCTCAAATGGTTTGTGCGTCGCTTCGTATTCACACAAGTCCCGAGATCAATCCCCGTTACAAAGAACAAAGAACCTATTATCACTTGGAGATATAGATCTAAAATGTGTTTCCCAGTGAAAATATCCGTTCTCTGGCATTGCTGCGCTAATAAATGATCAATAGTATACTACTATTAGTAGTATAATTCTAATAACAAAACTAGTTGGTATTGGTATTTTGCCTTGAGGCAAGTTACATGAACTTTCCAATTTGTGTAAATAATCGACATAATAGATATATTAATTTATGAGTAGCTGAAAGTATTCGAAGTGGGTTTATTACACATTGTTGAAAATCGAACACGTCAACCCGGTCGGAGTATTTTTTAAAAGCAAATTTTCAAAAATCAATAATTTTTATAATTGAGGCAGTTTTTTGTAGGACTTTAAAGGTTTAGTATGTTCATTAAGACCAAGTACTCTATCGTTATACCAAGTAAATCGTCTAATTTTAATTTTAACAAATCGCAAAAGAACTACTCATTTTCTCAAACTTTGATGAATTTTTAAAATTAAACTACTTGTCGTAATATTTCAGTAAGTTCTAAATTTTTTTTCAACAGTTAATTACAAGAAAACGGCTCGGTAGCTTTTTACCTAAAACTAATCAGTATCATTCTTTCGGACAGTTTTTGATTTTTTTAAAATCGATTCGGTAGTATGAGCTTAAATGTGGACGAAAAGTTTAACACTTTTTACCAAATTACAAAGAAACGGCTGATCGTCGCACAAAACTGAGAAACAATAATTCTAATCGAGATACATCAGATGATTTTTACATTTTTGAAATCGGTTCAGGCGTTTTTGAGCAAACGTCGATGAAAGTTCTAATTTTGACAAATGCCAAAAAGACCATACAAATTTTTACAAGTTTTGACGAATTTTTAAAGCTAAACCAGTTATCGTAGGGCAAAAAAATAATAATAATAATCGACGAAAAAAAAATGTGTAACACCTTATTACAAGAAAAGGGCCCGGCCGATCTCTACCAAAAACTAATCAGCACGATTCCCAACCAATATCTTTCGAACGGTTTTTGAATTTTCAAAATCGATTTAGAATTGCGGACTAAAACACGCAGACGAAAAATTTTTCACTTTTCTGCAATTTTTAAAGAAACGGCTTGGCTGATTGTCGCACAGACCTGACTGACAATAGTCCTCATCGAGATACATTAAATGGCTTTTAAATTTTTGAAATCGATCTAACCGTTTTTGAGAAAACGTCGATTTACGAAGTTTTTCGAAGTATTAATTGTTCCTTGCAAATTTTCTCACATTTTCGGATCATAAACAATAATCATAATAAATATCTTTTGGTAAACTAATAGGGATTGAAATTAAGATATATTAGTATTTCTAATTAATTCCATAATCTATATATAATAAAATCAAAATGATAAGAAATCCGTAGCCCGTTACATTAATTTTAAAACATATGCTCTCATCTGACGGCAACACTTCCAACGCTGACGAGAAATCTAATGTTATATTCTTAGCTGAACAAATTTTATTTATTAATAATTAAATTAGGATAAATACAAGATGAATTGAAAAAAATTAAGCTGTATTTAACTAATATCTGAATATAAATGTTTTTAAATTCATAAATTTACTCATTATCATTCAGATGAGCGTCAAAAGAGGACCGCGGTACCAAAATATATTTACATTGGTTTTTAAATAGTTAATACAAAGCAGCTTCAGGTAGTTTATTTTCTGTACATGTTTAATTTCTCTAAATTTAATTTATGCTCAAACTGCCGATCAACTATTCTTAATATATTACTTAAAAATCCATCTGCAATATTGAGCAATAGTTAGCAAAATAAGCTTAGTTTCCAAAGAATCGTGTTACTATTGTACAAGTAGTAAAAAATCATGCAAACCGACCATTAAACGTTGTTGTTACTATTTAAAAAAAGTAGTATTCAGTGGTGTATGCCATACACCGTATGCCATCATGTCTTGAGGCAAATTTCTGGAACTTCCAGTACCGTCATGAAATATTCGAGGAATATTAAATATTTTCAAATAGATCATAATAAATACTGTAATATTTTCAAATATTAACAAGAATTATATAAATTGAATAACTAAGTTAGAATTATTTATTTGTATAATATAAGTGAGCTTTAGAACTTTAGCCAGAATTAAAATCAGAATTTTAAATAAATTTTGTTATTTTGTATCAATATACCAAAAAGAATTTGAAATAAAAAGATTTTTTTTTTTTTTTTTTTTTCACAAAAGCAATTAGTTTGTCAACACAAGCAAAAAGTTTTTTAAATCATTCAAATTGGATGCTTAATTCTCTCAAAAACAACCATTTTTTGCATCCGTATCATTGAAATGGCTGGACCTGCCTTCTTCAAAAACTAATCAGCACATCTCCTTATCATTAGGAATCGAATGTTTTTTGAATCATTCAATTCGGTTGATCTGTGCGCCCGAAATCGCGAATAAAAAATTGAATAAATGAAATTTCTCTTTGGAGTAAAAATTAGATATTTTAAATATTATAGATAATTTAGATGCAAAAAGTACTTGTGTATGTTTATTAATATCTTTATAAATACAGAAATAATAAAAATTGGTCAGCTAAATTGTTTAAAATCAGAAAATCCATACGTTAAATATTTATATTCATTGTTTGCAAGACGATGGAATTCGTTCGGACGCCTCGAAGTACAGCTTGAATGGTAATAAATTTATTGCGCTCTGTCCGAAACGATGTTCATTATCCTTTGGCTCTTATCCACAAGGAGAAGAAGAAGGTGGCTCGTCCTTTTGTCATTTGGTTGCAAAAATAATTGCGACCAAAGGCAAACGAACGGGCAGCTTAAATGAAAAAATAGTCTTCTTTTTGCTGCTATAAGAGAAATTTTTGGAAAGCCCCTTTACAGGGGCGCACGATTTACAACATCCACTAATGTATATTATAATACATTAGTAAGCAAAAAATAAAGTCTTGAACGACAGACTGCTATCTTGGTTCTTCCTTTATAAGCAAGTTATTCTTGATAGTGGTGCATGGCATTATGCCTTGAGGCAAATTGCTGGAACTTCCCGTACCGTAATTAAACATTCGCGAATAAGAAATAATCGATATAGGTAAAGAATGCATTTAATGAATTTAATTTTACTTTATATAAATTATTAACAAATGTTACTACCATTTATACCAATACCCAGGGCCGGATTTAGAAATTTGGCGCCCTGGGGCACTGCCAAAAATGCCGCCCCATCCCTGGATTTTTCCTTAAATAGTTTTTATATAAAAATTCATTTTAAATTCATTTAAAATTCATTACGCATTACATACTCTAAATAGTGGTGCTTGGCATCACGCCTGAAGGCAAATTGCTGGATGTTTCCGTACCGAAAATCAAAATTAGACAAAAAAATTAAAATATTTTGAAAACTTTGAAAAAATGTGACTTTTTTATATTTTGAAATTTCAAAATTTTAATTTTTTGTTAAAGCGATCGCGCTGCTTTGGCTGCGTAGAGTCAAAATATCGAAGCGCGTAAGCGTCGCGTCGCAGAATAACGGATAAACAATGTTACAGAACCCATAGAAATGTAAACAAAATTTATACTTATTATTAAAATATCTGATTATTTAATGTACATGTGTCCAATGATCACTTTTGACCGCCAAATATTTTTTCAAATCTCAAAATTCTTTTATTGGATCACCGAAACCGCTAGAATTGCCTCCCACTAAGCAGTTCTTCATTTTGTCTATACATTTAAATTTTTTTAATGATATTGGACGTTCCGTTTAACATAAACTGAAATATCATTTTTGGCATTTCGGCCCGTATTTTCGAAAAACTTGGACCTGCTTTGGTCAATAACTAACCATCACGTCTCGTTATCAATAGGAATCCTTCAAATAAAATTCAATTTTACTAAATTTAATAAATAAAAGTTCATATTTTTCAAATACATTCAAAATATTAAAAAAAGTTTTTTAAATTCAATTTTTTTCATATTTTAAAAAATTTTAAAGCTCTTTGTAAAATGTAATTTTCAGCACATAAAGTCTCGGTAACTTGCCTTAAGGCACAATGCCATGCGTCACTAGTTTAATATTTTTCGCGCTATAAGCTTGGAAGTGCATAAATTCGTCATCTTAAGAGTGCTCGAGATCTGAAGAACATATTTTTCTTAAGCTTTCAGCTCGTTTACGAATCTTTATATTAGCAAAATTGCCAAATTTTGCATTGCGATCGTATTATGTTTTGTTAATTATATTTCTTGAAATGAAAAATGTTAAGAAAATGAGTTAATTATATTGTATAAATTTTTTTTCACTATCCAAATTTTGCCGCCCCCGAAAATTTGCCGCCCTGGGCAGTAGCCCCGACTGCCCCTACTGTAAATCCAGCACTGCCAATACCTGTCAAAACAAAAACTGTTTGAGAAAAGATTGATATAACAATAGACATCTCATATGATTTTATGAGCGACAATCTATATAATTTATTCTTTATCACTTTATTATCTTGTAATAATAGTTTGTAAAAACTTGTGTGGTACTAGAATTTTCCTAACCGATTTAAATCGGTTGATCCGTGTTGTTGAAATCGTCGATAAAAAATTGTATCCGCACATATATACACACACACTTACATCCATTTTTCCTAAGGTAAGTCAAAATGTTCAGAAACCTTTGAAACGTGAAGATATGCAGAAATTTTCAATTTCGATTTTAGGTCAACTACAATACCTTACGAAGAGTTTAGAAAAACATATTTCTATAATTAGGAGTTACCCAGTAATTTTACTGATCATAGATCGAGAGTTGTTCCTTGGATATATGTTATGTGTTGTCATGTAGTTGTAGAAATACAAATTAGACTTTTGTGTCCCGCTCTACCCTATATACCTCATCTAAATTTGGAGTGAAACGATTCAGAATCTGTTGAAACGTAGGAAAAACATAATATTAACAAATCATTTTTCTGGCAAAAACATAATCTTCTTCAGGAACTTCAAGTTCAATTGTCGATCGCGAGATGTTTACTTCTCCTAAACCTCTATCTTTCCGCCATATGTTGCCTAAATGGACGGTGAATAATTTTCGAGATATTTCGATTATTCAACTTGACCCAATGCTCAACTAGCCCCGCTCTACCCTACTATAAAAAATTGTTGACCGAGGTTAACTTAATATTGAAATTTAGTCAAAATGTTCCAAACAGTTTACAGCAAATGGTATATCTCATAAATTACGCAAAGAACAACGTTTATGTAGATCAATCAATGCCATTAATGCGCACATAATATTATCCTCTGAATGGAAATCCTATGGAAATTTATCACATTCTTTTTTACGAGTCCGTATGATTTAAACTAGTAGGTATTGGTATTTTGCCTTGAGGCAAGTTACATGAACTTTCCGATATGTGTAAATAATCGACCTAATTAATAAAAAAAAAATATGAGTGATTAAAAGTATTCCGAGTAGATTTATAACACATAATTGATAATGAACAAACTCGTTAACTTGAAGTATTTTCTGAAAGCAAATTTTCAAAAATCAATAATTTTTATTTTCATAATTGAACCAGTTACCATAGGACTTTAATGGTTTAGTATGTTCATTAAGACCAAGTACTCTATCGTTATACCAAGTAAATCGTCTAATTTTAATTTTAACAAACGTCAAAAAAACTACTCATTTTCTCAAACTTTGGTGAATTTTTAAAATCAAATTACTTGTTGTAAGGCTGCAATATTTTAGTAAGTTCTATAAGACCATAATATATGTCGCCAAAAAAAGTTCCATAAAAATCAATCAATTCAATTTTTTTTCAATAGTTAATTACAAGAAAACGGCTCGGTAGATTTTTACCTAAAACTAATCAGTATCATTTCCAACTAATACCTTTCGAGCAGTTTTTGATTTTTTAAAATCGGTTCGGTAGTTTGAGGTTAAATGTAGACGAAAAGTTTAACACTTTTTTCCAAATTACAAAGAAACGGCTCGGCAGATGGTCTCGCAAAACTGACAAACGATAGTCTTCATCGAGATACATCAAATGACTTTTAGGCCTTTTTGAGGAAACGTCGATCAAAAATCTAGTTTTGACAAATGCCAAAGAAACTATACCAATTTTTGCAAACTTTGACGATTTTTTAAAGTTAAACCAATTGTCGTAAGGCCGTAATATTTTAGTATGATCTAGAAGACTATGGTATCTACCGTCAAAATAATAATAATAAAAATCGTCGAAAAAACATTTTTTAACACTCTATTACAAGAAAACGGCCTGACCGATCTTTACCAAAAACTAATCAGCACGATTCCCAACCAATATCTATCGAATGGTTTTTAAATTTTCAAAATCGATTTAGAATTGCAGGCTAAAACGTGGACGAAAATTTTTTCACATTTCTGCAATTTACAAAGAAACAGCCCGGCCGATCATCGCACAAAGCTAAGAAACGCTAGTCCTCATCGAGGTACATCGATCGGCTTTTAAATTTTGGAAATCAGTCCAGCCGTATTTGAGAAAACGTCGATTTACGGCAAAAAATCTGTTCACATACACATACACACACATACATACATACACACACACATACTTTTTCCAAAATTGGTCTCATTCGAGCCATTCAGAATGGCTTGAAACGCCCAGAAAACGTGAAATTAGCGAATCGGATTTTTTGCTGAAAACATAAACTTCTCCTTCGGGAAGTTAATAATCTATCAAATGATTGTCCGTTGGGTTACCATCGCTCAGCTTATAAAACAGAAAGTTATGATTAAGGTGACCATACGTCCCGTATTGGCCGGGACAGTCCCGGATTTCTACCTTGTATCCCGGGTTATTTTGAAAGCATGATTTGTACCGGATTTAGATCTTTTGTCCCGGATTATCACGGTTTTTCGAAAATTAACAGATGAATTAAGAAAAATTATAAAAACAAACAAACAAGTGCTATTTTTTTCAAAATAATCATGAATAAAATTGAATAGAATATTTTACAAGTCTCAAAAGCGTGAAAACATATAAATCGATATAAGATATAAAATCATAGATGAAAAAGTATGACATATAATCGAATAATACAGTTCTTGCTAACAGTTCGCAATTCTTATAAAAAATAGATTTATATAAAAAAAACTGTTATTATATACCTCCCGTCCCGGATAAGCATAACTAAAAATTGCCGTCCCGTTTTTGACTTTGGAAAATATGGTCACCTTATTAACTTCCCGTAGGGTAAGTTATTGTAATGGGCCGAAAATCGGAATTGAAAATTTTTACATTTCTCGACGTTTTGAAGGTTTCTGAACGTTTTGGCATACCTCAGAAAAAATGGATGTGTGTGTGTGTGTGTGTATGTATGTATGGATACAAATTTTCGTCCACGTTTTCGGGCGTACGGATCAACCGATTTGAATGGTTTAAAAAACATTCGATTCCTATTAATAAGGAGAAGAGCTGATTAGTTTTTGGCAAAGACAGGTCCAGCAGTTACGGAGATAAGGAGCAAAGAGTGCAGAAAATAGAAATCGAGTTTTTGAGAGAACGGAGCATCCGATTTGAATGATCTAAAAAACATTCCATTAGTAATGATTGGGAGAAAGGGTTATTAGTTTTTCGCAAAGGCAGGCCCAGCCATTTCGGAGATACAGAGCTAAATGTACAAAAAATGGCAGTTTTTGAGAGAACTAAGCGTCCGATTCAATTGATTCAAAGAACTTTCTGCTTGTCTTAACAAAATAATTAATTTTGGAAAAAAAAATTTTGTACCATTTTTTTTTTTTTTTTTTTTTTTTAATTTTTTGTATATCGAAAATAATTCAGATTTTATTTTTAATTCTGACTATAGTTCTAATATACTTTAAACAAATAATTTCAACTCTGCAATTCAGTTTATATAATTATTATAAATATTAGACAATAATACAATATTTATAATAATCTATTTGAAAACATTCAATATTCCTCGAACGTTTCGTTACGGTACGGGAAGTTCCAGCAATTTGCCTTAAGGCACGATGCCACCCACCCCACTAGTTTATGATTGGTGTTAAAAATGAGAAGAGAAAAACTCTCAATCTATAGAAACCCCGATGTGAAATAGAAATTTATTAGATTACTTATTAACATTTTCATAATTCAAATGAATGCGCGATTTCATGATCAATCTTGCTAATAAATCTTCAATCTTCAACAACATTAAAATAAAAATATAAAGAGGACCACCTGATATCAAACTGTAGTGATATCTATTTTTACTTGAAAATATAGATTAAAATATGTTTCCTAGAATCTGTTTAGCATTAGAAAACTTTTAATAACAATATATCAGATACGGACAGAAAAACCATTGTCTTCTAAAAAAAAACTACAATACATCACAGGATTGTCATCTCTCAAGTTCAGAATGTTTCATCTCTGAAGTTCATAACCAAATAAACAAGTACAATAATAAAGATAGTTGGGGGTTTTCAACAAGATTTCAACATTAACTTTGAGCATAATTCGTAGTAAAAATATATCACGTTGAAAACTAGAAGATAAATGCCAATCAATTGGCGCAATGTGGGCAAAATACATTTAATTATTTTATGTAAATTTTTTCTTTATTACAATTAGATGAAGTTTTTTGACTCATTACTTTCTAACGTGAATACCTATTTTGTAGATTCAATTTTTATTGATTTTACTATTTTAGTATATTTATTATTCCTATTTTTATATTTTTCTAGGTCCCGGTTTGGCGTTCTTGGCGTATCCTTCTGCGGTTTTGCAATTACCAGGCGCGCCTCTGTGGTCATGTTTATTCTTCTTCATGTTATTGCTGATCGGTTTGGATTCTCAATTTTGCACAATGGAAGGATTCATTACGGCAGTTATTGACGAATGGCCACATCTTCTTAGGCGCAGGAAAGAAATATTCATTGCTATTGTTTGTTTCATATCATACTTGGTCGGATTGACTTGCATAACACAGGTTTGTTCTTGGAAATAAAAATGAAATAGTGACTGTTGTTGTAAGTCGGCTTTATTTCACTAATCAATGGCTCAATACTTGCTACTGAAAATGTGGTCTTTCAAAAGTAAAATAACTTTGTCATTTGTAGCTACTCTCGAATACGTTACGAAAATATGTATAGCATTCTCATCCAATCACATCCGTTTTGAATATTTGTTTGGAGGTAAAATTTATTTATCAGAAATTTGCAAAATAGTGTCTCATTAGAGATTTTTTATCGAGCAAGGCTAGCAATTCATTAGCCAGTTTCTTCCAATTGGCTGAAAAGTGGCCTTATTTAAAAATTGGCTAGTTTTAATAATGTTCTCGCAAATGTATAGCATGATGAAAGATGCAATAATAATAATTCTGCCAGATGTTGAGCGTCATTGTCACAGTCATGTCGAAAAATTAACACAAACGTGCAACGCGTCTTTTACAAGTTTATTTTGAAGGTGGTTTTGTCATATTTGCTGGGACTTTATTTACTGATATTTGTAATTATTTCTATTAAAATCAATGAACTAATAAGTACTAGTGATTTCGATCAATTTTATTGCAATCATCAGGTTTTTGGTAAAATTTTTATCATTTATTCACTTTTGTTCACTTCCGGACAAAATGAGATACTTATACAATGAACAAAATGACAGTCTTATTCCGCAAGCACAATAGGGTAGTTCATTCAAAGCCAAGAAAAAGAAAATTGAAACGTGTCAAAGATGATTAGCTTTGAACTTCTAACCCAACTACTTTCAAAAACAATTTAGAGGATCTACCTAGTGAAAAAACAAACTTTTTGCTACCGATTAGTCTATCTATCATAGTCGTCTTCATTCTATCTAGTACATGCAGTTCTTGAACATTAATATATTGATATTAACCCATAATCTTAGTTCTCATGATTATCAGAAAAAAATTCAGTGCGCGTTCACAAAATAATAAAAAAATTAGCTCTTTTCAAACTTCTTTCATATTTTTTACTTACTTATTTTTAACGTTTTTTTTCATATTGATTTGAATTTGCGTGAATATTATTAAAAAAATGTTACAAAAGATGTCATGTAATTAAAAATCAGCATTTTTAATTTTGTAATATAAGCTAATGTTTATAAAGTTTTCACATTGTTTAAATTTTAGTGAATTATAAATATTACTGTAAATCAACAAACTATTCGGTTTTATCTAAAACTGAATCACTTTCATCTATTTTATTTTTTTACATTGTTTATTAAGCAAAAAATACACAATATCGGATTGTTATAACAAATTGATTAAAAATTTAAACAATAAAAATTATCTGAATTAAAATTATCTATGACATTGTTTACAATTGTTTCAAATTAATAAATTTATGAGAATGAAAAACAACCGAGCTTATTAAATATAATTATATGACCAATGTAACATTTGGTTATCAAAAGTGCAGTGCATTATTCGGTAATCGAAATTAAAAATATTCAAAATATTTTGTAGGAATTTCAATCTACATTTTGATGATTGAACAAATGAATATAATTTATTGTCCATCTATTTCAGCATACTACGCAATTATATAGATAATCAAAAATGCCAATTAACTTATTTTCTTCTGTTTATTTCTACTTCTTGTCTGAACAAAAATTATTTTGTTGCCATAGGTCAAGTTGTTTGTAAACATTAGCGAAAGACAAAAAGGCGATTATAATTATTATTATAATGTCTGCATTGTAATTTATAAAGAATTTTTACTCTTATCCAACGATAAACTATTGTTTTAGGTTAATTATTATCTTTATAATGAAATATGTTGAAATAGGCAATTTAAAAATATTCTCTTATATATTTCGTTTCAGACGAGCGATTGTGGTTTTTTAAGAACTGTATAAAACCGTAACTTAGGCGTATTACTGATACTTTGGCATTACATATTCTACACAGCAATTTATCTTCTTGTCGCGTTTTTATAAATATAATATGCATTTACACGATATTTAAAAAAATCTTAGTACTGATAGAAGCTGTCGAGTTTAGGATATTTAGAAAATTTAGTCACTTACAGTTGTCTGTTGTACAAAAGACATCATTTTAAAATGAATAAATTTTTAAAAAACAACTCAATAGTTGATTTTCTATTCGATACATAAATGATAATGATATTCTAATATAAAACTGAAATATATCATTGTAATTGATATTCAAATGTAGATTTAATTCGCATTAAGAATCCATGTTGATTAGATCATGTGGTAATTTTCTCTTCAACCTTTTATAATAATTTTCTGTTTGTGACTGATCTAAGTGAACGTGTTAAACTATTTTTAGACATTAACCAACAATTGTTGGTGACAGGAATCAAAACCGAAAAAAAAATTTTTTTGTTATTATTCACACGCGACAATAACGTCTACTGTGATCTATAACACAGCATACATTATTAATACTTAATTTTGCAAATCACTCGTTTTTATAAAACCAAATAAACTTGTATATTCTCTAACCAGCCAACGGTTGTGCGATCATAGAACTGTTCTCACAGTTTTGTCGTCTGAATCAAGGTAATCGATGCCAAACTAACATGGAAATACCATATTCAAAAGAAACGTCAACAGTTGTTAATCACGAGAAGAAAACTATACTGGTTGATAAACCAAAAATCTCAGTTGAAACTTATTCTGTACAAAGTCATGTTAAAACCAATTTGGACGTACGGAATACAGCTTTAGGCAACAGCGCGCAAATCCAACATCGCCATAATTCAAAAATTTCAAAACGAGATTTTGAAAGCAATTATGAACGCACCCAAGTGTGTTCCAAATTGGTTGTTTCATACAGATTTGAACATGAACACAGTTCAGGAAGATATTGAAAAGTTCAGTCTGAGATACAAAGATAGAATACAGAACCACTCAAACATCATGGCCAAAAACTTAATAAAAAAAATCATGGCATAGAACGGCTCAGAAAAAAACTGCTCCTTTTTGATATTCTTTAGTAATCCTATAATATGTACAATTACTCGTAAGCTTTATTTAATTTTTTTCACATCAGAACTACATCTATAAGCTAAACATATCCAACCTCGAATCGAATCACCACTGGGTGACCATTCGACTATTTTCCTTATTTAATAAACCATTAAAATTACTGAATGTTGTTTATAACGACAGATTGTAATTCATAAATGTAAATATATATAAAAAAAGAATCGAGGTAAATATTTTGAGGTATAACGCCACTTGCAGTTATTTATTTTACGATGAGATAGCATTAAAATACACGAAATATATTGAAAATTGAATTTGAGAACCATTTTTTTTTTCAAAATTTACGATCTAATTAGCCAATGGTCGAGTACACTTGTCGATATACAAAATTATGCCGCTTCTCCATGACGAGTATAATAGTCATTCAGAGTTAACTGATTAATTTAGTTAATAGAGCTCTTCGTGTCTGAGGTAAAATATTGGTTTGTAACTGCAAGTTCCAGGTTCTATTATAATTTAGATAAATTATTCAATCTATTAGGATATCATAATATTATGATATACTATATCACTATTAGAAAAATTATAATAATCAAAAAAAGGATGGTCAACCATTGGGTCGACCTAGTATTCTAATAATACTAGACATATGTCATCACGACAGCGTATAAAACAGACATCTGAATGGAATGAATGAAAGTGATATGATTAATTTTAAATTGCAATTGGTTAATTAAAGTACTAGTAATTATAAAATTAGTAAATACGTAATTTTGTATTTTTCCAGGGCGGTATGTACGTGTTCCAAATTCTAGACTCTTATGCCGTGAGCGGTTTCTGTTTGTTGTTCCTGATTTTCTTCGAATGTGTTTCGATTTCGTGGGCTTTTGGTGTCAATAGATTTTACGATGGAATTAAAGACATGATCGGATATTATCCAATGGTGTGGTGGAAATTCTGCTGGACCATTACGACACCATGCATTTGTATCGTAAGTAAAATTTTTTTTTTTAACAATAAATTGAGGACGCAACTTTTTTTATTTGCTCGATTATCAATCTACATAAAACATCAAGTCAATTGGTTATAAGATACAGAAAAAATAAATTTAAAAACTACGTTCAGTAATGCCTCTCTTTACAGTGACGATAGTACAAATGGGAATATCAGAATTTTCTGAACATTAAATGGATTTTTACTTATTAATAGGCTTAAAATAGCATTAGCATTTTTTAGCAAATTTATTATTATTTATCAATAGATCATTAGCATTTTTTTAATTTTTCTGTTGTGAATTTGATTTAACAACTTCTTTGTTAGACTCTTACGATGGTCAGTAAGTCTGGTTGTATACTTATGAGTATGCCTGAATACCTCATTTCTAATTGAGAGGGCGTAACTTGATTCAGAAAGTTTAGATTGTCTTTTTTAAATCTTTTTGTTCACTCTGTTCTGCCTCATATTATGCAATTATACATTAGGCATATAAGCACAGGCACATCATTGTAAATTCATACAAGAATTATTTATGTCTTCATATTATAATCAGAAAAATTAATTTATTTAGTGCTTACCATTTTAGACTTTTCATTAAATTAACATTAATTACTAGGGAGTATTCATCTTTAATCTGGTTCAATGGACGCCGGTTAAATACCTCGACTACTCATACCCATGGTGGTCTCACGTGTTCGGATGGTTCACGGCGCTCACATCAATGTTGTGCATCCCTGGATACATGGTCTGGCTCTGGTGGAAGACGCCTGGAGATCGTGCCACGGTAATTATCGTAAATTTATAAATGTAATAATACAATATAAAAAGGAAGGATAAAACGAAAAAAATTATCGTTTGTTATAAATAAATTTTGGAAGACAAATATTAGAAAAATATCTGATATTTCGATATTTTATTAAAGCCCGATGATTTTTTTGTATATATGCAAATTGTCACAATAATAATATTATAAATTATAAACAATTATGATATCGATTTTCACTTTATAGAATTTTCCGGGCTTCCCGGCTGCAAAAAATCAATTAATTAAAAATAAAAATACTAAGTAAAGTACATAAAAATATAATGACAAATAGAAGGCAATCACTAGGTCATCTTCTAATCTCATTTCGTCAATCCTCAATTAGAATAAATGAATGCTATTTGCCATCTGCAAAAACTTACGAAACAATTACTTTTATTTGTTAATGAAATAAACATTAGAATTACAGATTGTAATTCGAATAACTAACAGTTCGATCACATTTAGGATCTTTTAAGAATCCTAGGATTATTCTCAAATAAACAATTACACATTTTTTCAAATACGATATATCTAAATATATCACTTATTACGCCTAGTGAAGGACTATGATTTTTTACATAACAGTTTTTATTGATACATATTTATTGTAAATTATAGCAAATATTTTGATGCATATATGCATCTTATATATATATAATATAAGTTAAGTTAAATTAAATATATATATATATATATATAAGTTCCTGTAATTAATATTTGATTGCATTTGTTCAAGTCAAATTATTTGATAAACTTTTCTATCAATTATTTAACAATAATTGAACGTTAATTTAATAGCATTATATAATTTAATAAAATTGCAAGAAAAATATCAATCGTTAGGCACAGATATTGTACATCAAAATGATCAAGACAATTGTCCTATTATTTTACTAAAAAATATGCCAGAAATATGTGGAAAACAATCAAATATTGCATATGATAATGGATATACTCGTAAAGTGAAATCATTTATAATTAGCTTTGTTATTGTTAAATAACTTTTTCAAGAGTATATTAAACATATGCAAATCAAAGCAGAAACTTCTCCTCAATTAGAATATTTTTTTTGAAAAAAAAAAGCTGCTTGTTTTATGATGCAAAAACCAGATAGGTCTGTTCTAATTGCCCTGTCCTCTAATCGCAATATGGATCTGATTTTTTAATAATCCAAGAAACTAATATACTCGATTTCAATTTCTAGCAAGCGCTTACTGAACAAAATAGAATTAAAAAACTATTGCACCGTGGTATTCTATATTTCCATATTCCGAAGTCTTCGACCGCGACGCAAATATTTTTTTTGACGTTATTAGTATTTTGTTTTCGATGACAATTATTTGCCCGAGGTCAATTGATATATCTCTATGGAATTTGAATTGGCGATATCGACGTAAAGAACTTTATCATTCAAAAATACTAATAATTTTGAAACACTTTTATACCATGCGCGCATTTTGTTCGCTATTCGGCGCAGTAAAATAATATTTACTAAATTCAAATGCTTTTGGTGCGAAAGTTGGACTAGAACATTATACTATCATATATGAACTTTATCAAAACCAAAGTGGTGTAACATTTTGTTAACTACTATATTAAAAAATGGTGCGTTTTAATGAATTCTAAACTCAATCTTGAATTTTATTTGAAATAATTTTTTAGCATTATAAAGTAATCATGAACAATTATTGCAGAAACACCTGTATATATTTTTTAACGTTTATAATAACGTTAACATTGGCCCTATTCGATAAAAAGATGGCACAGTACTTTTAAATACATATATCTATAATTTTAACTTCTTGAACTATTTAACGTACTAAAAAATAGAAAGTTTGAATGGTATGAAAATCATAGAGAAGAAATATCGTCCAATTTTGACAATTTGAATGAATTTTGTCTTGTTATTATTTAAACAAATATTCTAAAATATTTCAGTCCTTGAGGTTTAATTAAAAAAAGGCCATTAAAGTTAGTAAATGGGGATAAAGAGCAACGCTCTTAGGACATAGTTATACATGGTCTGTTCAAAAAGTACCCGGAATTACTAATAATTAAATTTCGCGGGTCTGGAGTGTCTGATTGTCAAAATTTTTTTTTTATTGTGTTGGTATACATGCCCCTAAAGTATGATGAAATTTTCAGCTATATTCACTGTTTACTTTGTCTGTGGTAGTCGCTAAGGTTTGACGTGTTTTTCTGAGCTCGGCGATTTTTACAATGGAAGAATTGAAAAAGTCAAAGAATTTGTATTAAATTTTGCGTAAAAAATGAAATAAAGTGTTGCAAAGTGCAAAAATTCACCAGATATGGCTCCGTGTGACTTTTTCCTATTCCCAAAGTTGAAGAGACCCATGAAAGGACGGCGGTTTTCCTCGATTGAAGAAAATCGCCGAGAGTGCTCAAGGACATATCAAAAAGTGAATATCAAGGGTGCTTCGAAAATTGGAAAAAACGCTGGCATAAATGTATTATATCTGGGGGGGACTACTTTGAAGGGAACCACATTAATGTAGACGAATAAATAAATATTTTTTTGAAAAAACGAAAATTACGAAAACTTTTTGAACAGACCTCGTATATATATTTCAAGTTTTTTGGAAAATATAAATTGGAAATCGTCGAATTTGTTTTATGTGAAAGCTAATTCCGAAATACACAGATAAAGATTCCTGATTGATTAAGTAGATTATTTACACATATATGTAAGTTTATTTATAATGTCACTTACACTTACGTCCATAATTATTTTTTAAATGTTAAAAATTTTAATTTGATGGTTGACATTTTTAAAACTATATTTTCAAAATTATCTAGTACATTTTCAGATTATCTAGAACCGTTTCAAACTTGTCTAGAACATTTTCAAAATTATCTAGTACCTTTTCAGACTATCCAGATTATTTTTAAAGAAATCATTTTTAGACAGCCCAGAACATTTTCAAAACATTTTTATACAATTTAGAACTTTTTTCGATTATCTAGAACATTTTTATAATTATCTAGAACATTTTCGGTCTATCCACTAAATATGTTTACTATATGTCTGCAAGTATCTACTTGCAAATATAAAAGCTAAATAAGCTAAAGTAATCGATATTTCTTTCTAAAAATCAAACAAGTATTTTAAGTTATTTACTTTAGATATCCCTCGTACAAAAACATGCATATTAACCTACAATAATAAATAATTTGATCGCAATGAATAAATATCTAATAAAAAATAAATACAAAAAAATCTAATAAAATTTTTCTTTTTCAGAAAATCCGATTGCTGGTCAGAATAGATGACGATGTCGCGACATTGCGTTCAAAAATGCAAGCTGCTCTTCAATCACAGCCCTCTGATATTTCATCACTATAGGGGAATAGTAAATGCATAGTTACATAGATTCAGATTAAATAAATAAACATTTATTAAAACCAAAAAGTAGTGAACCGACAATCCCAAAAATATTCCATTTTATGTCACAAATTCAGCGCCTACAAGCGAATCTTACTCAAGTTTCATTCCTGTTTTCTTCGAACCGTTCAAGTTTAATCATTTAATTTATTTTAAAAGTGCTTATACCAAATATGAAACATTTCAATTACATTCATATTTATTTTAGATTTTCGTATATCTTTAAAAGTATTTCGGTTTTTCGCAATTATCGCCGAAATAGTAAAATGATCTTAAAATCGTAACTGCAGAATTAGTTAGACGTGACCAAATAGTTTTGTTATACGCTAGAATTAAGTAATCAAATATTGTCTTACATTTTATAACATTAATTTTAATTTCTTGTTTACTGATATATTAATACTAAATCATTCCTTTTGTTTATTTATGAATTATTTAAGTAAATTGTTTCATGATGTCATAATGTAACCTTATGTATATATATATCCGATGTCTTCCATATCGACCAGTAGTCAGATGTAATAATATCTTACTGTAAAATGTATTCAATATTTTATTTAGACTTTTGTGCACAATAAGTGTGAACGTGTTGGATTTGTTCATCAATTTCAATTAAAGAGTTCATTCGATGTACAGAATATTTATTTAATTTCCATAATTAATTTTTTTATTGTTAAGTTAATACTTTATTAATTTAATTTAAAATATTTATGATGTACCACCTATGTCAATAATTTACATAGATGCCGTAAGCAAATTATAATATTAACTCACGTATTGGCAAAATTTTGGATATATTGTATATTGGTATGTTTAACCAAATTGAATAAAAAATATGTTAAAAAGAGCGGTAGAAATATAAAACAAATAGACAATAAACTTGTTGTTTTTAATAATTTTTTTTTTCAGATTTTTTTATAAAATATCAATGTTTCAGTATTTGTTAATACGCAGGATAGATCACGATAATCTTTTTTTTTATACAATAATTAAATAGTAATCAGAAAAAAAATCTATAAGCTATTGTGTTGATTATTAGAACTCCAGTAACCGTACTGGAATTCTATATATATGACATGACGAAGATCACCCCAGTGGGCTACTCCATTTTAATGCATTAGATCAAAGGGATGCTTCTTCTTCAATCTTCCGATATGATGATACTTGTAATATGGGAATTAATGTGGGGTTATTGTGGTTGATGATCTTGTCGTAATGAATTCCACTTCTGTTTTTCACTACCTCCTGGACAGTATCGATTCTTAGATCGTTATGTATTATTCGGTTGCTGACATACCAAGGTGCATTTGCAATACACCTTAAAATTTTAGATTGTTTCTTTTGGATAGATGAAATTCTTGATTTACTGGCGCAGCCCCACAACTCTACGCTATAGGTCCAAATCGGTTTTATTGCTGCTTTATAAAGTAGAATTTTGTTTTCTAATGATACTTTAGATTTGCCATTAATAAGCCAGAACAGTGACTTCATTTTTCTTTCCGTTTGTTTTGTTTTGCTGTTAATATGAGTAATCCAATTTAATTTGCTATACAAGTGCATTCCCAAATATTTTACAGAAGCAGATTCAGGGATAATTTTATTATTAATAGACACCGGAATGTCTCTTGTATATAATATATATAATAAAGGTCCCAGAGCGCTGCCCTGTGAAATATCTGCTTGAAAAACCCGAAAATCAGAAAAATCAGTACCAATTTTTGTGCGAAATTGTTCTGTAGATACGACTGTAAAAAATGATGGTATTCGGGCAACACGATAATCTAAAAAACTATTTTGAATTAAATTTGATCATAATATTCAGACTCTTACAGTTAGATAAAACATCGTGATTAGAAAATCAGCTATGAAATAGAACACATTCCCTAAAATAACTTGCATATCATCATGAATCAATTTTCTTTCGTGCTTACTATTGCTCAATTGAGCTTTTGTCTTGCAACCACCATGTTCCATGTGAAATACCAACCTCCGTCAACCTGATATCAAGAGCCAGTTATTTTTCAATTGAAATTAGATTTAAACATGTTTTCTAAAAAACCGGCAATCAAATCAAATTAAAATACATCATAAATATTCGAGAATTTCTAATTTAGTATTCTTCTAAAATATAGGAAATATTCAATAAATTTTTGTAGACATTAACATTCGTCTACTTTACAATCCTATGAAGCTGTATTATCATTTACTCTGTACTGTACTCTTTGTAGAGCAGCAACTTAGTACTATCATGGATAACTCATTTATGAGTTCATTTTCATAATAACCTTCAATAAAAATAATAATAAACCAATACCATAATAATACTACTTACTTCTTAAATTTCATTACATTAAATTCCATGTTAGATGTTAGTGCACATTAGTTAATGAGAATAAATATGTAGCTTTTACAAATTTGTTCGACAAATGTGTTATAAAATTATTAAAATTTTCTTTAGGTAAAAACAACAAATCTTCCATCTTTCATACCTTGGACTTAGGTTCAGAGATGTCGCTTGTATATGAGACAACTCCGATGATTTAATCAAATAAAAAATGATATCTAAAATTGACTCATCAGTGTAACATAATTATTTAAAAAAGTGCAAAATGAGCAAACTATCTGTAGATAGAAACACGAAGCGAAGACACGCGCGCTCTGATTGTAAGAAAAAAAATCCTGACGTTTGTAAAAAAATCATTGTGGGAACCATGAAATAGAAACCAAAATATTTCAGAGTTTTGTAAAAATAAAATATTTAAAAAACATATATTTTGGAACCAGGATTAGTAGAAAATTCTCTCTTGTTTTAAAGTTAACAAAAATGCCTATATTTTCCTATTTCATAAATAAGAGAACAAAGTCATATTTTTATATCTGTTCCAATACTAGTATTGTTTCAAAAGACTTTATAACTAAAATTTTGGACGAACGAAAGTATTTGTATTATTTCCAAAGATTTATTATAACCCGAAACAAGCAACAAATGCTTCTATCATTTTATTACAATTTGTAAACATAAAAAATAATTTACAACCAAGTCTAAATGCAAGAGGACTAAGATGAATATTATAAATACTTCAGATAGTTTGAATTAATTAATTATTATACAATACTAAGATAATTTATAGGTGCATTAAGCATATGGTTTATTTGATTAATTTATGTAAGTGTGAATAAATTGAATAAAAAAATAGAAAATGTAACATTTGACCTGATTCCAAAATAATTTCATATGAGGAAAGAAGTACCAGCTAAAGTACTCTACTATCGGAAGATAACATCACTGACTCACGATATTATCAGTTAATTAACTTATGGTAAATTGTGACACAGCTCAAATTATGAATTGCAAACTCAATTTGACAATAGGCAATAGTATTTGATAATATATTTAGAGTACTGTTGAAATCGGGAATGATACATCAGCTATGAATGAAGAATCAGAATAATAAAAAAAAAAGTCTAAAATTTACAACTGTACTAAACTGTGTCAAAACTCAAATCATAATTAACTTCCCGTAGGGTAAGTTATAGTAATCGCAAAAAAATCGAAAATGAAAATTTTTGCATTTCTCGACGTTTCAAAACCTTCTGAACATTTTGGCATACCTTAGAAAAAATGGATGTATGTGTGTGTGTGTGTGTGTGTGTATGTATGTATGTATATATGTATGTATGTATGTATGTATGTATGTATGTGTGTGTATGTATGTGCGGATACAAATTTTCGTCGACGATTTCGGGAACACAGATCAACCGATTTGAATAATTCAAAAAACATTCGATTCGTATTGATAAGGAGACGTGCTGATTAGTTTTTGGCAAAGGCAGGTCTAGCCGTTCCGAAGACACGGGGCAAAAAGTGCCAAGAACGGTACCTCCGTTTTTAAGAGAACGGAGCGTCCGATTTGAATAATTCAAAAAACATTTTACTTGTATTGACAAGATGTAGAATTGATCAAATTTTCATGGTGGCAGGTCTAGCGGTTTCGGAGATCTAATAATAAAAGTAAAAAATAATGCCATTCGGCGGTTAAAAATTATCATTAGACATATGCACATCAAATTATCAGATATTTTATAGAGATTTTATACAATAAGTATATTTTTTTTTTTACATTTTTATGGGTTCCGTACCAATGCTTATGCGTTAGACGGCGGCGCGGCACATGCGCGCTTTGACATTTCGTCTCTATGCAGTTCAAGCAGTGCGATTGCTTTGAAAAAAAAGTTCAGAATTTCCAAAATATGCCAAAATGAAGAAAACATTTTTTTCAAAAAAATTTTTTGTATCCAAAAAAAAAATTTTTTTTCAAAAAAAAATTTTTTTTTTCATATAAATTTTTTTTTTTCAAAAAAAAGTAATTTTTTGTCAAATTTGTAGTTTCTCAAATCTATTTTTTTTATTTAAATTTTTTTCAAAAATGTTGATCGTTTTTAAAAAAATAATAATTTTTGGTACGGGAAGTTTCAGCAATTTGCCTTAAGGCACGATGCCCTAATTGCCTTAAGACAGAATTCCACTTACAGCTAGTTTAATGTAAAATTCTGTTGAAAACTCAAGATACCGCCCAATTTAATAAGCATTTATACTGTATGTATTTATAAAAAATAATCTATTTGAAAATATTTAAAATAATTATTATTAACTCGATGACCCAACAAACGTTGTCCTGTACTTATGTTTACAATTCAAAAGTTCAATTTTTTTTAATAACCTATACTGATATTTACCAATTAGTTAAAAATTACTATGTTTTTTTACACTACAGTCTATACCGAAATGTATATACATGCACCCATATGGATCTTAAATGTACAGCTGTTTTTAATAAAATGATGAGTATTTGCATTTTTTAAAAACATTATAGAACATTTTTTCCTTATAATTAGTTCTCTTATCGATATCCGACGTAAAAAAAATGAAATTACACCACTGAGTGGGATGTCATCCCCCCGGGAAATGGCAAAGGAGTCTGAATTATTTTCAATTTTGAACTTGAGAGTAAGATGAACATGACTCATGCAAATTGGAGCACAGTAAAATTCAGACCCAAAATGCTCTATTGA